ATTATACATATAAATGTTTATGAATCATGACAGTGCCTGTTCATCACATTCGCGAACGGCAGTGTCTATTCATCGCGCTCAAAGAACATTCATTTTGTTTCAAGGATGCAGGAAGAGAGGGGCGTTGATAAAACTCGAAAAGGATACCGAGCATCAAAAGATTTTAAAATGAATATATTATCCAATATTTAAAAAGTTAACTGTGTTTCAGATTAAGAATTCATAAAATGAGTTCCATGTAAATGTGTATTAGTTGCTTTTTAAATGCATTGAAAGCAAAAGAAAGGAGAAGTTCTTATATTTACATCAGAAAATATATCCTCTTCTACAGATTTTGGAATTTCTTCAGCTGGCTTGAGTTTAAGCAGTCTTAGTATCGAATCAAATGCGTTCCGTGAATTCAGTCCTTCAATATTCAAAGCGACCTAGGAAGAGAGAAAAAACAATTATTAAATTTGGTAAATCAACTGGCATTTTTCAAGCCATCTTTTTATATAAAAGGATATATTACGATAAATATGTATTTTAAGTCCTGGGGAATTTATACCACATCTTGCCAGTTTGGTTTGACATATATCGGCTAAACTAAAAAAATGGTAAAATTTCGCATCAAGGAAAAGGAATCCTAGGTTCGAAAAGGAAAAAAAAATTAAAAAAAAAAAAGAAAATCTGAAAGGTTTCAGATTTTAAATTACGTCCAAAGGGGCATTTTTTCAATATTTTGTGTGTTACCTTTATTTATTAAACATCATATTCTTCGCACTTCAACCATAAAATTCATTTCAAGAAAAATATCGCAAACTAATTTTAAATTAAGCATATCTTTAGAATTTCTGTTACACAGTTTCACACGCTGGAGATAAAAATGTTTTTCTCTTTACAACATTGTCATGGCTCGCTTTGAAATCCTTGAGTTTGTCAATCAAAAATTCGTTAAAGTTCTACAAAATATGAAATCGATAATAAAATAAATTTCAAATTTCGGCTTTCAGATGCCCATATTCGGTGGAGGATTACGTCACTCAAAATTGAATGGCTCTAGGTACCGCTATCACAGTGCGAGAAATACATTTATGCAGATTCTTCATTATTTAATTTTTTCCAGTATAATACAGGGCGATAATATTGGGTGGAAACAGTTTGAAAAGTGATAAAGCCATTTATAGTGTTTCGACGCAAAATCAGAAAACGAAAACAATAGTCCCTCAGGAATAAAGCCTCTTTGGACTAAAAATTCTTCGATAGCAAATCATAGCTAGAATTTTGTGTGAAAATTATACGAACAACCGGCATCCTTGAAATGTTTTCGACATCCACAAAATCTTCAATGTTTTCGGAATTTTTTAAATTCAACACATATATACTTTAGGATGTCAGGAAAAACACTTTGATTTTATTTAAAAGAAAAAGTAATTATAGAGGCTTTTTAAAACTCAGTTGTGTTATTGAAGCATATGCAGGCAGACATCACGTGCTTCACTAATAACAAGTACGAATTGAGGCAAAATAATTGAACGAAAAATTTATTTTGGGTTTTTTAATAGGTTTTAATATTTTGTATCTCAGAGTAACAGCAACAATTTTTAAAGCCGGCACTTTTATTTTAACTAGCTAATAGGTTGCAGTATGACAAGAAAATTTTAAACAAATACTAATATAAATGGCGTTTATTTAAACCAGGATGGTCCAATAATTTTGTGTGAAAAGCCATTTAAAATCTTTGCTCAGTATTCCGTGAAAACATATAATAAAAGCAAAAGCATTAAACATCACAATTTTTATACGATTTTCTTAACTAAAATTTAATTTTAAAAATCTCTACATATAAATAAAAAGAGTCTGTGTGTCTTTCATTGGTGCTGTGCGTAAGCTAATAGACCCAGGGCTACGAAATTGGTACATAAGGTGACTAGACAGACCATGCTCTTGAAGCGATTTTCAAATTCGAATCGATTTTTTTTTGTTTTATCTTTTCGATTTACGATCGAATAGTTTCATTCTTTAGAAATGTGGGTTGGCAACAGTGTTTTATTCAATTGTATAATGAATGACGACGTTGAAATAACACTGTTGCACTTGGAAATGAGGCGATGTGCAGGTGTTTTTAAATTGAATGTTCATTGGAGAATGGACGTTGTTGAGAGGGGAAGTTGGTTAATTTATTTATTAGGATAATTAATTTTGTATTAAGGGATATTGCTTATTTCATTGTTTCATTGTAATTTTGTTATATGTAATACATTTTTTTATGAATTTGTTCTGCAGAGTAAAGTTCTGCACAGTTTTTAAATTTTACGTTTGGTGTTCCCTTCAGGTATTTTTGCAGTACATTTAAAAGCCATACGAAGGCTGGTCGCTTAGCTGCTAATAAACAAATAAAGCCATATGTTACAACTTCGCATCAACATTTGTAATGTTTGATGTCATTTCTTAATGCCTTTATTATATTGGGTGCTGAGGCAGCCAGCCGCTTGAAATAGTTTATATAGAAAAGAAAAGCACATAATGGTGGTCCAGATAGTGTCATTTCACAGGTCCAATTAATAATTAATAATAAGAACTGTATTAAATGTTTTTAAATTGCTCAGTGTGCTAATGAATAGCAGGCAAATTAAATTTACCAAATAAATTAAATACAGCAGAACTCAAATTATCGGAATCAACTAGGACCGGACCGTATTCGGATAATCAAAAATTCGGATAATTGGATGTTTTCCGAAGAAACGTAGACTTTAATTAACTACTATATGTTGAAAATGGGAGAAAAAAAAAAGATTTTTTTAAAGAAAAAGGGGTTTTAATTAATTAAAATGAAACGGCCACACTTTTGCGTGTATGCTTTTGCTTACTGTACTGTACTTACAAGTGCTGAAAGTCATTACTTGCTGAACATCTCGGTCAAAGTAAGCTTTTGATCGACACCGCGCCTACACTTAAAATTTCTTCAGCCGTTACTTGCTTTAAAAGATGAACAACCAAGTTTCTGAGCTAAGATCTTAGCTTTTTCATAAAGAATCGGATCCGAAATTAGGTTTCCCATAGAACGTTGCTGCAAAAACCACTTGCAAACGACATCTTCTAAATTTTTGTTTGCTGCCGCATTGATTTTCTTGAAGTTTAAAAGTGTAGGTTTGCTACTTTTAATGTTTGAAATTGTTGATCGTCCAACATTAGTTTAGTTTCTATCTTAATTTTTTCTCTAAACTCTGAAAGCGATTCGGATGGTCGGAGTTCGGATAACTGCAGTTGTACTGTAACATTAGGGTGAGAAAGAAGATAAAATATTTTATTTCGGGCAGTGACAACACATTTCTTTTAAATCGCTGAGCTTGTAAAATTTAATTTTAAGTTAAAGATTTCAACTTTGCCCAGTGACAATACTTTGCTTTTAAATAATTAAGTTTTTAACGTAATTTCATTAAAATTCGCATAAAATATAAAATAAATTAACCAACATTAATTAACTTCGAGGTACACTTGTTCGGGTGAATAAAGGACTATAAGCGTTCAAAATTTGGTGGCTGTAAATGCCGCCGGTTCTCCACAACGCGAAGAACATGTATAACGTTTTCGGAAGCGAGCGTTTGCGCCATTACTTAATTTTTATGGAAAAAGTACTCACCTCGGAAATAACTTCGGATAGGGAATTCAGATTATAACCCAAAACGGAATAAAGGGAGGCAGGTATGAAGGATTCGTTGCTAGGAGTAATCTCCAATTCATTCACGACTCCTAATTCACTGAGTTCTGAAGAAAAAAAAAAAAACATAGGTCAGTTGTATTAAACCTTTTAGATTGACCAGATGAAACCAGAATTTTATTTAAATTTTAGAATTAATAAAATCTTTTACCGAAAAAAATTCAATTTCGGAAATTACAGTAATACACAGAAGAAAAAGAAAAGTTCTGTATCTCCCATTCTTTTGGGCCAATTGACAAAATTCAAATTGCGTTTTCATGTCTTGAAAGTGCGACTTAGGATATATATCCTAATAGCTTTATATACAGCATTGTTCTACTATAGGTGTTTTGACACAAAATCGGACTTTTTCTGTAATAACGTATCATTTTTCCCAATATTTTGACTCTACGACTCAAATAATGCCTAGATATTAAATTTTATAATTTTTAGGGAGAAATTTATGACGAAATTTAAAAATTTATCTTGCCACACTTTTTTTCAGTTTGCGCCAAGAATAATTCACTTGGCGGAATTCTCAATTTGTAGTAACCTACTTACTTTCCGTAATTTTCATTGATGCACGAGAGGATTGGATTATTTAATTATGGCAAAGCACACGAGGGCTATCTGCCTAAAGGGAGGGATGCCTTCGTGGAGGACTTTCTAAGGGGAACTGGCTCGTATACATGTTACACATGTTGCACGAGAGGAAAAAAGGTCCATCGTTCGTTCCTTCAAATAATTTTAACAAAATGCGTAAACCACATTTTTGTTATTATCGCTTATATTAAATACGCGAAATTTCAAACGCGCCAAAATGTAAATTCATGTATATCATAGGAGATTTTGAATAAAAAACTCTAATTTTTTGCAGATATGCTTCTACTTTAAAAAGATTTAAAAAATTTTATTGGTTATAATACAAAAAGTTCTTAAAAAAATTTATAAAAAATATGAATAGTATGAATGATAGAAAATTTATAAAAAATATAATTTTTAAAATAAGTAATAAAAATTTAGCCACTAGTATTTAGATTAAGCCAAAATTTCGAATTCTGGATGAAAGAATCAAGTAAGTTTAATAAAATTTGATATATGCAAATAAATACATACCATATTTAATTAACATTGTAGAGCTAAAATTTTGAGAGCCAATTTTTAAAAAAGTACTCGTGTGATTTTTACAAAACTTGGCAGTTTGGCATGATTTGAGTCGTAGATTCGAAATATGGAAAAACACTGGTATGCCATTTCAGAAAAAGTCCGAGTTTGTGTCAAAATACCGATGTTAAAACAATGCTATATAAATCTAATACATATTCTGAGTCGCGCTTTCGAGACATGAATAATGCAAGTTGAATTTCGTCAATCGGCCCAGCAGAACGTGAGATATAGAACTGTCCTATTTTTTTTTTCTTCTTTTTTTGAGCAGTGTACCGCAATATAGGTTCCCTTTGAGATCTGTCCATCTAGGTATACGTCCAGTTTGGACGCGAAACTTTTATTTGGTATACGGTATTTGTTTGAATACAACTAGAGTTGGATGAGTGAAGATTACACGCATTTCGAGACAATACTACTGCGACTGTCTATGAGAATCAGTACGCCTGTTAATACTCTTCATCAAACAACCGCGCTGTAGCTCTGAATTTTCAAGTGATTTGATGTTTTTTCTCGCGTAACATTTTTGTAAATTCATTAACAATGAATTTTAGGAAAGTTAATAAGAAGAGTAAAGCAACAAAGGAAATTTTTAGGATCATCACGGAGGTGGAAAAAGATGTTGTTGAAAAGTGTGAAGACGGCATACGTATGCGGGACTTAGCTATTGTATACCATATGCTTAGTACGGTGATGTGTCTCCTTTTAGAAATGATGACACTGTTACATGGACTAATATTTCGAAAGGGGGGGGGGAATCGATTACCAAATAAAGGTAACAGATTTTAGATAATGTAGGAAAATTGCTTTTGATCCGAACAGCAGAAAGATATTTATTAGAAGACCGGTTATTTTCCCTTTATTTTTTTACTGGAAAAGTTCGTTTGGTGTACGTCCAAGGATCTGTAACGGATTGATCAGGTATAACATAATGTTTATGTTGTAAGGTATATGTTAATTTTATAACAGTTACTTTAATTTAATTGCGCTTTTCTATCTTTCCTCGTTTCAACTTACAACTCCCTACCAAAATAAGTTTTTACAATCGCGTTGAATGCAAGTGAGTAAGAAGTAGCGCTTAAGGAAGGTTGAACTTATTTCGTGAGAGAGAGCTAGGAATCTTGAGTAGCGCGTGTTTGCCTTCGAACTAAGTATCTGGATGCTGTTACGCTCGGCCGTATATTACGCGATTTGGGATAGTCGCCAGCTCGTTTAAATTTAAATGCCAACTACATGAGATTTGTGTCAGCTTCGTTTAAGTCTCTTAATTAATGATAGTTAGTTCTTATTTCTTATTTTCAAGGCCATGCAATGAAATGTGGTGGAGCTCATCGGAGCAATACATGCTCCACAGAAACCTGACGAGAAGCTGTGTTGTATGTACTGTGGAAAGGACCATGTGAGCAGTTTTCGTGGGTGCGAAGCTTACAAGAGGAAATTTGAGAGGAAGGCCAAACTCAGCGACAACCTGCACCGGAAGTGACATCAGTGAAATTTTCGCAACTACCCAGAAGTGACAATCGCCCCGTTCAGATGACTAACAAGACCTCCTACAGTGAGAAAGTTAAAAATAGCAGAACTTCGGTGCCCAGTATTTTTGAAGGTCTATTATCGTGTTTTTCCAACCCGAACATCAAGGAATTTGGCAAGATCTTACTCGAAATACTTAGCTTCCTGCAGAAGGTGAACATTGCGGAGAAACTCCGAGCAGTTCTCCAAACAGTGCAGACACTAATGGAATTCACTAATTGTGAGTAACTTTATTTCTCAGAAACCATCTCTTGATCACCAGCTTTCTCCGACCTTCTATTATTAGTGTTTAATCTATCCTTAAATACTACAATTTAATCATTATTTAATTTTCCCATTTTTCCCAAAATTTTTATTTTCTAACTGAATTCTATGAAGAACTAGGCTACTTTTTGACACCGTTCGCAATTTTCAAATGATCTACAAGGGATAGGGCCTTCGGCCCAGGTACCCTGGTGTGCCAAAGCACCGTTCCACTGGGTCTCCGATATTTAAGCCAGAGTGGAGGCTTTGTTGTAAGCCCGAAGAAAGGGGTCGAGTGTTCATCTTATTTCGAGTGAATAAAGGGTAATGAACCCTTCTTGAGTTTACGTTTTCTGTTCTGTGAACTAAGCGATAATTCGCTTAACAGTTTACAAGGGTTCATGGACATTTAATTTAGAAGAATAAAAGTGAGGAACTCTACACAGTAGATGATTTCAGTATAAATATGTTACGGCCTCCAACTTGAGATCTCATAATTTGAAAGCCTGAGTACAGAATTGGAGCTGCTGAAGGTGAGAAGCCGTCAAAAATTCATTCGTGGATAAAAAAAAGCAATTTCAGGACATTTGTGTATGCATCCATTTATAATGCTTATGAACGCTGATATAAAAAAGACGATGCAGCAGTGAGTCAAATGAGATATATATCACTAACTATATGTTCTTTGCTATAACTCTTATTTTGTTACGTCCGTGCTTATTGCGTTATTCGTGAACCGATCACGATGGGGCTTATGTTAAATTTGACAAATTGTTTTCAATCCTATTTGAACATATTATATTAAAGAAACAAATTAAGCTTACTTTGAATTTTGTTCCCTGAACATAAAAGACATATAAAAAAAGTAAATATTTTATATGCGAAAATATTTCTTGTGGATATTTCCTACCCTGATTCGTAATGTTCTGTAGATTGGTTTATGTGATTATGACAAAGCCTCGAAAGCTATCTGCCTAAGAGAAGGGATGCCTTCGTGGAGGACTATCTAAGGGAAACTGACTCGTATACACGTGACACATGGGGAAAACCACGAAAATCCCCGTGCAGCCAGCCCGTTCGCGGGATTCGAACCTCGGAACGAACTACCAGTGTTCAGCGACTTTACCGCTTTTTCGCTGGTAGGCCTCGTAATGTTCTACAATTCAAATGTTTATAGGAAACAGTTGAACAAATAAGACAACGCTTATAATCGTGAAAATAACTCCCTTGCGCCAACTGTACTTTTAATACTATAAATGAATTAAACATGTTAAAATTCTCGAAGAGCCTCTTTTCGAAGCTATGATTAAATGTAAAAATCTGCTCTTCCTAAATTTTTATTAAAACTAATACATTCATTGCAAAACTGAAAAGTTATACCATAGAATAAGTATATGGTTATGAATTCATACGTTGAAAAATAAAAAGAAATAGGAACTTACTATCATAATAACTGCGAAGCACTTTCTTAGCGTGTTGTTGCCCTCTGTCGAATTTTTTAACCAGAGGAAGAATCTTCTTAATTCGTTCAGCTCTGAAAAAAGACGGGCTCAGTGAATGAAACTGGAATAAAATTAGCTGTAAAATCTCATTTGAAACTAAGTCACATCGAACAGTTCAAATAAATTATGTTGGGTGCCTTTCCCTATTTCATTTGGTACTGTACATGCAAGTTTGCTTCGTTAATAAAAACAGGTTTTTCTTTATTAGTATATATTTATTTCTCGGATTCAACAAATCGTACTGCATTATAACGCTTAATTATTTTTTTCCATTTATGTTATTCTGTTTGTATTCTGTATTTATACGTTTTTAAATATGCTACTGCTTTTATTTTTTTATCTATGGCTGTTTTGAATAATTTCAAATGTAATATTAGCAGCATTTATATCTTGGATTTCTCTTTCCCTGCCTCATATTTCACTACCAGGTCTTCATACACAGGTTTAATTATTCATTAAGACACCTGAATTTGCTGAATGGTTTTGTAACTAATATTTAAGGTTGTGATATTTGATTAAAGTTGTTAATATTTAGCTTTATATTGATTTATCTCCTTTATACATTGTTTCGAGACGTACCCGCTCGCTCATATACTCTACGTAAATGTTTACGGTTAAGATTAGGAGGAAATCTAGATCTGGTTCAGCGACGCTGAACGTGTAGTACGCTCTTGAATACGCTTTGATATTTGATATTTTGCTGACTTAGTCAAGTAGGCGGTCAGCACTGTTCAGTTATTTTTTTTGCTAGTGCAGTTCTCCTGTACAGTACTGAAATATTTTTTCATTGCTGCTGTGCCCTCGGGTGCATTCAAAATGTCCTTTTATAGGACATCGGATATTATTAGTGAAAATGACATGAGTGAGAAGGACTCACTTAATTCTTCTATCTCAATGAAATCTCAACCGCTCCCATTTCGAAAAGAAGATTTCCTACTTACGGAGGCTACGAATAAATCAGAGAAGAAAACGGCTAAGCGTGTTCTGGATCCTGTACCGCCAAAAAAAAAAAAAAAAAAAAAAAAAAAAAAAAAAAGACCCGCTACTTCTAATTGGCCAACGATTTCAGATGAACATCTGCGAATCCTGTTATCTAAAATAGAGTCAACTAAGTTCAATGAAATTTTTGGTGAAAACTGGAAGCAGAATCAGACTGACCTGCGAGCTGTGGAGCTTCCCCAAAGCGGTGGCGATCAAGAGAAGAAAAAGCTGAAGTCTGATGGAGAATCTACAATGAAAGCTGATGACTCACACTGAATGGAAGCAGCCCAGGAATCCAGCCAAACAGCCAGTTATTCCTGAACCTATGGATATTACTCAAGCGAACAAATTCCAAACGCTGGTAGAAGGAGATCTTGAGAACGGCGAGGGCAGGGCTACTGCAGTGGAAACGCCCCCTCCCCTAGTTTTCCCAAGTGACATTACTGACTGGATGGAAGTGTATGAACTTTTGCAGAAGCCTTGTACGGAGGTATATGACTCTAGTGTGAAAAATAGGAGTATAAATGTTTACGTTAAGAACGAAACTGACTACAGAAATGCCGCGAAAGCATTAAGAGGCAAGCTGATACCCTTTTACAAGTATCCTGAAGAACTTACCTTCATCCGTGAAAGAAGAGGGGATCCACAGCGATCTTGTGCGTAGAACGTTCCCTGTGGTTAAGGTCAAGCAATTCGTTAGATTCAGAAAAGGAGTAAAGGAAAGAATGGCTTATATTTTTTCTCGAATTGAAGCGGAATGACGAGGGCAACCAGATATTTCACCTCAACAACATGTTTAGCTTCGAAGTTTGGGTCGAAAAATATAATCCTAGGAAGCGGCCAACGCAGTGCTTTCGCTGCCAGTCGTACGGTCATTCACAGCACCTGTGTAATAATCCAGAAAGGTGTGTTAAGTGCGGAGGCTCGCATCGCAGAAATCGTTCTCCAAGAAACCAGAGGACAAGCCCTGCTGTATTTTTTGCGGTGGAGAACATGTTAGTAGTTTCCGTGGCTGTGAGGTCTACAAAGCAAGTTATGAGTAGAGGAAGCAACAGAAGCCACAGCGATTACCAGCCCCAGAAGCGTCACTTGAAAATTTTTCCGGAGCTCTCTGAAGCAAAACATCGGCCTGTGCAAAGACCAAGCGGACTGAGATATAGCGATACAGTCAAAGGGAAGCCCGGATCTACCCCCAATACTATAGAGGAGATACTCTCGTGGATATTTGGTCCCAAAGTTCAGAGAACTCTTAAAAACAATTTTTGAAATATTCAGGTTTTTGCAGAGTGCAAACTTCATAGATAAAGCGAAATCCAGTCTACAAGCCATCCAGAACTTAATAGAATGTGAACTTAATAGAAACTATGAGGTAACCAAGTTATTTTTTGCCACTCGCCAGTTTCACGGCTTTCAGGCTAACAGCTTTTCCTTTCTTTTAGCTACCTTACTATTCTAATTTTTTTCTCTATAACGTTAATGCCTTTTTAATTTCTTAAAAATTGTTCTTGTTTAATTGTTTAACTTAATTATCTTTAATTTTAATCTAAGTTCGTGAATTTTGTTTAGTTATTTTTTTTGTTGACATTATTCGAAAATATTGTTCTACACGGGGTAGGGCAACAACCGGGTGTCTTAAACAGCGTTCTACCGAGAGGAAGGAAACTACTCTGAGTAGACGTACACGCTCGCCCATGTTTATGCAAATGGTTTACGGTCAAGATTAGGAGAAAATCTACTCTGAGTAGAATTCTGGTTACAGGTGCTGCTACTTGCCCAGAGACACCCTCATCCGAGTAGAAGTGAATGTCTGACTTTGCTACATTTGGTAAAGGTTGAAATTTGTAGAGGATGTTCACAAATGTTTTAGACGATTTTCAATGCAACTGCTGAAATACTTTACCTAAAATTTTGATGTTTTAAATATTCTGTTTGATAACACTTATTCTTCACTATCTTTATATACCGTAATTTCCAAGACAATAAAGCCTTTTGTAGTATCGGAAGAAGTATTTTATCCCATTCCTCTCGAATAGCTTTCCAAAATATAAGGAGGTTGTAGTTCGACAAAACGGAAATGTACTTCATACTTTGCCGGTTTGTCATTTGACATTCTACAGAATGCCTAGGAAATGTGTGAAATATGAATCGTATTATACATTGCCGGTTAATTTTAGGCATTCTATACAATGCCTAGGCATTCTATAGAATGCCGGATTTCAAACTTTGCCGGTAACATACATAAGGTCAAAAAGCCGTAATATCTTTAAGGTAAAGGGCACAATACCTTTACAGACATGCATCTCGAAATGCATTCAAGCAATTAGGGTAGTATATGAACTGGAAGAAGAGAACAAAGTGGGTACAAAGTTATTTTGGAATTATAACTATGGAAATACCATTTACTTATTACTTTTTGGGGGGAAATTTAGGGTTTTAGCGCCATTTAGACGGAAGAAAGGGTGTTAACTCACCAAGCAGCTGTCGCAACTTCTGAACGAAAGCAATTAGATACAAGTAGCTTAATTAAGTAATGAGACAACTTTAGAAGTAATAAGATGCTTAAAAGCGCCGCCCAGTCGGTATAGTGGTCAGGGAAGCTGACTGCGATGCCGAAGGGCCTGGGTTCAAATCCCGGAGAAGGCATGGTCATGTAACCATCCGTCCCTTCATAGGAAAGGTGATGGTGGCCCACCTATTAGGTGCCTCCATAATAAAGAGACCAGCTCATCTGTCTTTGTATAGATTAATGGACTGGGTTCCATTTGTAATTGTTCACAATACGCCATTTAAAAATTCCGGAAGGGAATCGTTGTGGAAAATTTTCGTTACTCTGATCCAGTTTTGAAACTTCCACATAATATAAGTATTTCTAGAATGTAGACTTTGAAAAATAGTAATTCCTCTTTGCTTTCCGTGCAATATTTAAAAAACAGCAAAGTCTATATGTGAGTATAAATAAGTTACTAACATCTCTTGATCCCGAGGGAGCGATGAGTTGCCGTGACTTTCCAAAACTGATGTTACGAAACTTCCCACTTCTTCGCTTTCCTCCTTCCATGACTGATCGGCGATGAGTGTTAGAAGACTCAAACTTGGCTTGGTCCTTAGAAGAACTCCAAATGCAGCTGTTCGTATCTTATGGTTTTCCGTTTCGTTAAAGAAAACTGGTACTACCAGATCAAGAACCTGAAAAGACATAAGCAACCAGTGAAGCTTTTATAACGAACAAAGGTATTGTGAATTTCAATTTCTGCTTCACTTACTTCTTTGGGATGTTGATCGACAATATTGTGAAGAGCGTAGAGAGCGACAGACTTAATGAAATTGATGTACTTGGGGCTGCCTATAGGAACTCGGCCACGGACAAAAGGAGCAATGTAGGGTAGAGCCTCAACTAGACCACTACGTACCAGAGCTTCTATGTAGATCACTCTCTTGGCTTTGTTATCAGTATTTAGCAATTTTGCACCAGTGTTCTAAAACAAAGAGTTTTAAGCAATAAAAGAAAAAGAATACTGGATTAATGTGTGGAAGTTTCCACAGAAAGACAGAGCACTTAATAGTAAATTAAACTTGATAAGAAGAATGATAGGTATCTTGTATTATGTAACAGTTCTAAAAATTCTATTATTTTTATTTTACAGACAGATAGGTCTCAATGTTAAGTTTGTTCTACCCAATTATTTTTCCCCCCACATTTCAATTTCGGCTGAACATTATGCAAAATATTCTGCATTTCAGAAGTGCGAAAGAACTACGGATTAACTAAGGCTTTCAGGACTAGTGTTTCTTTTGACTTGCTTTGGAAACATGAATGGTCCTGAATAGGAACAGGGAGCTTACTCAAGCTATGTTCAAGAATGTGTGAAGTAGACAATACAAGCAGGAAGGGTATATGAAACCCTTTACAGGAATTTCCGAAATTTCGGAATACAGAGACCAACCACTTGTGGTCTGAACGTAAGAATATAAAAACTACTAACTAAAACTCTAACTAAAACTAACTTTGAATTAGTATACAAGTGCTTAACACTAAGATTGGCCTTTATTTAAAGAAAGGTACGTATGTAGTACGCCGAGCTGCTAAAACTACGATACGTCTGCAATTATCAAGAGGGCTAAACCTCTGGCCTTGAAGGCAACCAACAACAGAGTGAAAACTCGTAAAACTACAGTGGTAAGCGGCTTGCTTCCAATAACTCCTTCCTCTCTCTCGCTTGGCAAAAAGCCACAACTTAAGTACTTGGCGTTAGCAAGACAATTTGCATAAATAAGTTAAAGCGTTTAATTCTGGACGGAAGTAGAAAATAAGAAGTGATAGTACAGGTTTAAAATAAAATAAACGTTAGTAAAACTTAGGATCCTTACAAGGCTAGCGAAATTGCTTGGTTTGGTTCACACCGCTATGACTGAAATTAGCATTAGAGATTCCAATCCGCATAAGTAAAGGCACTGATTATTTACATTAGGTTAAATTATTTGGATATAGCACAGCATACGAAGATTATCTGCCTAACGGAAGGAAAGCCTCTATGGAGGGCTTGTAGGGACGTTAGGTATTTTTTGGAAGCAGGAGATGTGAAAAATGAGCAACGCCTTCACTGGGAATCGAACCATGGACATCTGGAATACGCGCCCAGCGTGCTGACCACTACACTACGAAGGCATGCCTTCTTGGCGGGAGAAATACCTTATAGACTTTGCAAGAGAAATTTGTTCATAGTCACATTACACCAGTGAAAACCAAGAAAATATTAATATAATCAACCCGTTCGCTTAGCTGTGAATCCAAGTCCGAATGCAAATATTCCGCTTTCTTAACCATTTGGCCACTGGTGAGTGTATTTATATAAGAACGTAGATTAAATTAGGAAGAGTTCAACAGAAAATGTTTTTACTTGAAGACGGTTTTCATGTTTTATTGGAAAGATATATTTTCCGTTTTATTGTAAAAATAATCCCTTTCAACATTGTTTACGCTCTTATAGGGTGCAGTTATGTAATATTGGGAAACAGTGTTGCCAACCAGATTTTGCCACTTGGTTTGTGTGTAATTTAGGGTTATCAGGCGGCATATTACTGAGCTAATAACTTAAACGACTACAGAAATTTTTTCGAAGTAATTTATCATTTCTGATTTTGAAAATTAATTCTTATGACCGTGATTTTGATATTTTTAACTGTTACTATTTCTTATTGTTTGCATTTGTGAAAGTAAACATTTCATCAAAAATTCGAACTTTCCTTCTTTTGTATATCTGATATCAAAACAGATTTGCTGCATGTAGTGATCATACGTTTTACTTCAGGAATTAAAAATTATGGAGTTTCGAAGGTAAGAAGTATTGGGTCAGTCCATAAATTTGTGCGCATTTTTTGGTAAAGTTTTAAATAATATAAAAAAAAAACACAATTTAACATTTTAATCAATTATATATTTTCCTCCATTATCTACATTATCTCGATTATCCATTATCTCGCCATCTTACAGGTAGCTTTTTTATGCCATTGCTGTAGAAAAACTCTAGTTTTGATGCAAAAAAACTTGAAAGTTCATTGTGTACATCCTGTTTAGAATTGTTTTTCCCAGTAAAAAAATTTTGTAAGGCATGAAATAAGTGAAAATCACTTGGGGCAATACCTGGAGAATAAGCAGTATGTGGCAAAAGCTCCCAATTAAATTCACTCATTTTTTGCAGCGTTGTTGTAGCCGTATGGGATCTAGCGTTATCACGATGAAACAACACTTTCTTGATATTCATCAATCGTGGGCGTTTTTGATCCATTCGGAGTTTAGACCGAAAAGTTGCTCACTATAAATACTTCTGAATTAATCGCTTGATTTGGTTCTAACAGTTCAAAACGTCCTGAAACGGGGTTCATCATAAATGCTGCTTTTTCCAACTTTAAATTTTTTAAACCATTTCTGGGCAGTCCTTACACTAATAGTGTGTTCACCATGTACACTATTAATTTTATCGCTGCAAACCTGGCAGATTCACCACAGGAAAATAAAAAATGTAGCACAGCACGTCTGTACTGATTATCTATGTTCATCTTACTGATTATCTATATTCATTTTAGTACCCAGAGGGTACTAAAATGCGTTCGATATTTACGAAAGTTGGAAATGAACTGAATAATATGTTAGTCAGACGATGACAAATTTCAACAGGTTCAAAATTGTATTGTTTTAGTAAATGCGTCATAGTGAATTCCACGCATACTCTTAATGCGCACGAACTTATGGACTGACCCGATACATTATGACTCAGAATTTAATTGATTTCATCATCGGAGAATTTATTTTTATTCACAGGAAAAAGAATTGCTTTTTTGAATTGGTGATAGAGCAGAATGTTTTTGTCTGAGGATTCATTAATGTTGAATTCGGATTCTGTTTACAGTTCTTTCAATGTGTGATCAATCCTTTTTTTGCCTCGCTAAGTACAGATGAAGGTATGTTTACATGCTGTGGACTAATTTCAATGAAATAATAAATAAAGTTTTCTGTAACACTTCCTTCTTCGCGCAATATGTGCAAATCAAAATGAAGTATCTTGAACTTAGTAATATTTTTACATGCAATATCTTTTAAACGACATCATCCTAAAGTTAAATAATTGTTAACTGTTCCATTTCAAAGCTAAACTTAAATACCTTAAGTACTTAAAGGATACTTAAAATATACACTTATTTAATCTTTTGTTGCGGACCACTAGTCGTCCTCGCGTTGAGTCAAAAGACTCACGAAATAAACAGCTTTCCTGATGCGTTGCCAAATTTTCTCTCTAAATATCCATCTCCTTTCTCTATTCAAATCCCACCTAATCTACATTCTTGGGCAGCGGACGAAAAAACAGGTGTAAAAGGAAAGAATTAACATAAAAATAACCCGTTAATTAAAAGAACAGCAAACTAGGTATAATTTAGAGATTTCTGGTCTTGGTCTACATCTGCTACAAATTTCCATTTTAATCTTTGTAGAACAGTGAGTTAAAGATGCATTTTTTGGGGGAGGATTTTTTATTAACTATTCTTTCTAGTGATCCGTATAAAAATAATTGGGAATGTTTTCTGGCTTCTTTCTAAACTTAAGCTATACAGTAAAATATTTAAACTGTACATAATATTTGCTGTACTGATGATTGAGATTTTGCAGTTTTAATCTCAATGACATTAAAAAATAAGGACAAAAGTAAAACCTTAATTATCAGAAAATATACCTTGATAAATTCTTGAATTTCTTCTTCCAGGCTATTGGAAGATTGCTTTTGCTTTCTGGGTTGGGCTGCTCTAAGGAAGAATCTTAAACCATCACCTCTGAGCCCATCACCTCTGAGCCCATCACCTCTGAGCCCGTCACCTCTGAGCCTATCACCTCTGAGCCCATCACCTCTGAGCCCATCACCTCTGAGCCCATCACCTCTGAGCCCATCACCTCTGAGCCCATCGCGTCTGAGCACATCACCTCTCAAAGAATCTTCGTCTTCAGGTTCAGCAAGGTTGATGTTGAGTCTGTTAATGACGCGAGATACTGCCAAATGAACAGCGGAGTGGAAGAAGTGGAATGCTGGATCTCTTTCACTGTGTTCGATTTCCAACAGCTCCTGAAAATTTTGAAAAGATTTAAAACCAGTTATTTAGAGAAATATAGCTCCCGAAATACTACAAGAAAACGTTACCTGTCTTCTGTAACGGCTTTGGACAGCGGCCTGTAATAAGCATGTTGATTTGGCGAGGTTCTACATTGATGAGAAAGAAACGACTATTGATCTGTGCATGTATCCCGAAAACAAACGGTCGGCGATATAAACTGATTTTTCGTAATTGCGTTGTGTCAATGTAGCGGTTTTTCGTTGTAAAATACTCATTATGCTTAGTATTTTCTATCTCCCTTGAACGGGGAAAGAAGATATAATTGATGTTTGAGGCAAAATCATTAGCAGGAATTGCTAAACTGTATCCACTAAGAAGAGTGAAAATGAATTTTCCGCTATGTTTTTTTAATAAATTGCTAACAAAATTACACTAAGCCAAAAAATATAATAAATAAATAAATAAAAATAAAATAAATAAAAAAATAAAAATAAATAAAAATCTGAAGGGTTTTAAATCACGCCCAGAGGGGCGTTTTTTTAACATTTTGTCTGACATACATTTATGCAGAATTTTCATTATTTAATTTCTTCAAATATATGCAGGACTCTAACATTGGGTGGCAACAGTTTGAAAAGTAAAATGGACATTTATAGTAAACCAACGCAAAATCGCAAAACGAAAATATGAGTCCTTCAGGAACAAAGCCCCTTTGGACTAAAAAAAAAATAATTTCGATGTTAATAATTTTTGGAATTTTTCGTCATGTTTTGTATATGTTGTTATTTTAAGTAAACTGCTGTTGTTGTTATTGTTGTCTTGTCCATATTACATGAACAATGGTTGTCAGAGCCTACTCTAAAGAAAGGCTGGACTTCTATTTGCCACCCGCAGTTTTGATGGACCCCGGGGGTATCCGGGGTCTCTCACCTCTCTTCCCTTCCACCAATTCACACGAGAGGACTTTCGGCTCGCCGTATATTTAGAGTGCCACCATCCGGCACCACACTTACAAACCCGTGTCCTTCTGTACCGCGGTAGGCTTCCCTAACCACTACACCGTATGGGCGACAACTGCTGATATAATTGTATTAAATACAGCTGAATTTTGTTGCTATTTTAAATAAACTATTGATAGAATTGAACAAAATATTACAACAAATACAAATTTGTATCAAGTTCCTTCAATATGTGTACATTAAATAACGTATGTTGTGTAGATCAGCAGTTCTCAACTGGCAGTACACAAGAGAAAAATAGGTGGTACGCAAAATATTTTTAACTACTAAATTAAAAAAATCTCGTGAAGAAACAGAACAATTAATAGACATTTCCTATGATCGAACTCTAACTGAAGATTTCAAAAATAATACATTTGTTAACATTTGGTTTAACTGAAAAAAAGGTTTTAAAGGCATTTCAAATAAAGCCATTAAATGTTTATTGCCTTTTTACACAAGCTATTTGCATGAAAAAGGATTTTCTTTCATGTTTTATTCGAAAAATAAATTCAGAACAAAATTAAATGTGGACCTTAATTTACGGTTAAAACTAAATGAAATAAGTCCAGACAGACAGAACGCCCAAATTTTGCACTAAATTTTAGAATTAAATTATTTTAACTTAAATTTTGATAGTAAAAATGGTAATCATTTTTAATATACTCGTAATATTTTTTATGTGTGCAAATTTAATATGAATAGTCAATACGTTATGCAAATGGCAAAATATTTTTTAAATATTTCTATTGAGAAAATGAAAAATAATCATTGAAAAATGTAGTAGTAGTACTGTTGTTGTTCAGTTTTTGTTTAGATGGTACGTGTCAGTCAAATGGCTTAGAACCACTGGTGTAGATACTAGAAAATAGTGGTTTTCGTACATGCTTATAACATTTGGCAGCAATAGGCAATAGATATTTATTAGGCAATGCAGATTTATATTTTAGTAATTTGAAGCTGCTGAATATTTTTAAAATTTAAATTGTGCACTTATATAAGGCAACTTACTTTTAATTGAATAAAGATCTCTTCATCAGGTTCATGAATATTTTCTGGAAGAGCTTCCAGAATTTCTTTCGCTTCCCATAAGCAGATAATTTTGTTTGGTGGATTCGCATTGTCCTTGATTAATTGGACAATGAACGCTACAGATTCCTTGCTTCCAATCAGAGGTAAAATGTTTAGCCAGATTTGCCTATGAAATTAATAGGAAAGAAATGATTGAATTATGATAAATGCAATCGATTTAATTTCTTCTGTTTCTCATTTATGTGTAGAATTATTACATTCAAATCTGTACACGTTTGGAGATAAAGGATACGTGCGTGAATTCTTAAGACGAGAGAAGGGAGAAGAAAAGTTTCCGATGCTAGCGGCTGATTTGAATACATAACTTTATCTTTTTAATAGAGCAAGACTTAATACGCATAAAAAGATTCACAAAGCCTCATTTATTTGTGCGAGATGCCCCCCACAATTTTATACAGTTTACATCTTCTCAGACAAAGGAGGAAGCAGAAAGCAAACTCTTCGTGGCTAGTAGCAAGGCGAAGCAGGAAAAAAAAAAAGGCTGCACACTGGTGGCAGCGATATTTAAGACTTAATTCATTTGTTTAAATTTTGTGATTGGATGAGAGCCATCCGCAAGGAGGACTGCATAAGCAAGCTCTAGAATAATTGCATAGGCAGGAATGAACGAATTAATTTGGAAGAAGGATGTTCAGAAAAATTATTATAAACAATTTGGAACAGAAAGGAGAGGTCGTCAAATTAAAATTGGGACTAAAAAGGACTATTGCCGAATTAATGTTAATAATTTTGAGTTATATATTATATCTTACATACGTATGTAAGAAAATTCAAGGGCAAGTGAAAGCTACTTTTAGAACAAAAGGAAGTAAAAGGTCTCGTTATTTGCCAAAAACATTTATAAGTGCTTCACAGAAATAAGTACTTTATTTTATACTAAAAAATCTAATTTCTATACCAGAAAACCTAACTCAATTCACTGATAAGTGTATTTATTTTTTACAGAAGTACGTAAATTATTTGTTGATGAAATGAGTCCAAAATTTCTCAAACATAAATTCCTGAAAATCCTGAAATCTGAATCCTGAAAATTTCTTGAAACTTCCGAATCTTTCATTTAAGAATGATAAGAAGGAAAAAAGAAAAGAAAAAAAATTTCAAGGAATTCAGATTTTAAAGATCGCCCAAAAGAGCTTTTTTATAGTTTAGTGTGATTTATTACTAGCGATTATCAATAGGCCCAAGTGGAATGGAATGAAACATTTCATAGGGTACTAGATGAATATACATTTAGACTAATATGGGAACTTCCTATACTTTTTGTATATTTGAAAAGTGAAAAAATATATAACATCATTCTGTAAAGATATCGGAAGCCTTTAATAAGATGTATCAGGAATTAAATTCATTTTTATTTCAATCAATTAAATTGAAAAGTAAAAAAAAGTAATATTAAAATATGCATCTATTGCTTTTAAATAGCCTAGTTTGTTAGTGAGTAACAGAGAAATTAAATATGAAAGATAAATATCTTACATTTTGCAGAAGGGCAACAGAAAAGTAGAACAGTGTATTTGCAGCGGACGCTGCAAAATCTACTTTCGAGTCTAATAGGCGTTTTGTAGTAAAAAACGTTTATTTAATATCGAAAGTTCCTAACCAAATCAAAACATGAAAGTTGCGTTTAATGAAAATTAAACTTAATAATACAGTTTTTAGAAAATGTATTTATGCTTATTAAAAAGAAACAAAATAATTTATTTTAAATGAAACACATAGCTGAAAGTCTAGAACCTTCAGGTACATTTTCTCAGTATAAATTAACAAAAATATTTCGACAACAAATTAACCAACCTCTTTACAATTTCGCATTTTCAGAATGTTTTTCAAACTAATATGTGGGGAAGTAAGTGTAGAAGAAGGGTAGGATAACTACTTAAAGATTTACACAGGTAACACTAAGCATGGAATCCTAAATTCCCCTCAGAAAATTAAATTAAGTTTATGGCACTCGGGATCATCAGAAGGAGATGTTGGCAATTTAGGTCCTCTGAAATTTGTAACATTTTCATTCTTTTTAATAAATGCTTCTATTGGAAGTCAATAAATCTAACCTCTGCAAAGTCTTGAGTTAAAAGGTTTAAAGGTATTTTTCAAGTTTTTAAAGTACTAGAATTCAATAAAAGTAACTTTCCCAAAGTTCTCAGTTGAAATGTTTAACGGCTTTTTAAGTTACGATTAGAAAGCTTGGAATGACGAAATAGGCCCAAGAATATTTCTTAAGATTCCTAGGATTCGAATGACCCATTCAATAAATAAAATAACAGCACTGTTGTTGAAAACTATATGTATGAATTATAACATTATTGCTCATAGCATAAATTTTTTAAAACTTTTTAATAATATTTATGTTTCTAGACTTCCTTATTCTAAGATGCTGTATACAGCTACATTTATGCTTATAGTTAACATATGTTTGTTATGAATCTTAGACATCTTAAAATGGCAATCATAAACTTTATCGGCCTGAATAAAATGCAATGTTTTTATATTTAAAATTCCTTGAGAAACTGTTTCTGTACTGTTCAGTTGTACATAGAAGTGTTTAAACGTAGATCATTTATAACTTTGTTTACTTTAATGTTTAAAAAGCATTGTATTTAGTTTTATCTTAAAGTATGGTATTTAGGTAAGAACCAACCCCCAGTATTTATACATCAGCTTATTTCTTTGACGTCTTATATATGAGGATGTCTTATACAGACCAGCACGGTACATTTTATAGTCTGAGGTTCTATTGATTTATATAGACAACCAAAGAATTTGTGAAAATTGCCAGAGGCTGCGAAATAAAGTATTAGAAGAATATTTTACATTACCTCTTAATTTTTTCCCGCTCGGATGCAGCGATTAAATCATCGTAATGTTTGAGGCTGTCCTGGATAACGTTCAAATGGTCTTTTGTAAGCAAACCCGCTGCCTTTTGTAAGAGAACAAGTTTCTCTCCCACATTCTGCTGCTTGGGTTCTTTAATCTCATCTCTGATGACAAAATCGGATATTTCCTCCAGCAGCTTCTTAACGATCCGAATACTCTCACTTGGATTTGGATGGTGGCAAACCGCTCGAATTTCTGAAGGAAACAGAATGAAATTTTACTTTTTCGTAATGGATGGAGCAAACTTGAAAAATATGGGCACTAAGGTGATATGGGCAATTTAAGCAAATGCTCATATTACACGTAATGGTTTTGAGTTGGTGCATTCGAATTGTGGCTTTGGCAATGCCCATGTGTCATGGCGACTATGTGATTAGTTTGCGTTGTTGCGCGGTTCAAACAGAAGTGCAAATGGACATTTCTGATGTAACTACCACTACCTGATATTTCAAATTAGGGCTGCTGTTATATTTTAGTTACTTTGCTTAAGCTTTAACACGCAAAATTAATTAATTTTACATTAAACCTATAAATGGCCGTAATCTTATGTGAGTTGGCAGTATTATCCGTTGGCTGTAGCGAGTGGTGTCGATCTTTCTCCCTCTGACAGCAGTAATGCCAACTATTGCATAATGTCACTAAAGCAAATATAGGAAGTAAGATTAAGGGTAATATGGGCAGTATGAAAATGTTATGATATTTTCTTTTCACGAGACAATTAAAGTGAAATTGATTCATTTGATGCTCTAACAATACCCATTGGGTTGTTATGGGTTGTTCCATGAAGAATGTGTCGAGTTAGAGGGTGACTCCTTGTATTGTAATGAGTGTAGCGTCTGATACAAGTAAAAGTCCTCATTAAGAGTTGTTCTTTTTTTTAACTTTGTAATAATTTGAGTTAATTTAATAGTTAATCTGATTTTCACTATTTAATTATTTTTAATTTAAGATAAAAACTTGGACATATTTTTGTGACAGAATTTGTTCAACAACAAAAGCTTAATTTTACTTCTTATCATTTGCCAAACATATGTCTAAAAATGCATTTATGTTTGGAAAAGGTAAATGTAGAAATGGCAGTTTTTCTTATCTTTTTAATAATGCAACCTACCCATATTTCCGGCAGTTATACCGATAGTACCTGAAGTATTAGTGAAATATGGGCAATTGCAGAATTTGTTGCGGAGCTTCTTTATACGTACATACAGCAATATCAATAGGAGTTAGAGGTTTTTCACATACCACTAGACCATACTCTAAAGTTTGAAATATATTAATTTCAGAGAAATGGAAAGTGTTTTAGTGTAGTATATTTTCAATTAAGTGTTTTGGTGCCCATTAATACGCCAAGTTTACCTTACTAAAAAACACTGGGCGTTTTCTTAAATTTCTTCACAGCTGATACGATGTTTTGCAACATGTACAAAACTGTTTTATCCATATTCCACTTCATTTCGTGTAATGTTGTTTATTACATGTGTCCGTATTAACAATTATATTTCAATGAATTAGTAATAGATTTAACGCTACTGCTTTATTTGTTTCTAAAATTTTCGATATTTTTTTTGGGGGGGGCGGAGGAGATTAATTCGTATTACATCCAGATGTATTTTAAATACTTTTACACTGAATTTTGTCAATAATATATTATCACTGCATTAAACGCTTGAAAATTCGTTAATCAAAATGTGGAAATATAAAAGGATATTTATTATACGACAAATTCATTAGCATTTTCACACTCGAGGCCGCTTTTCAAGATATTAATACTGCTAAAATGCATTTATGTAACTGTCGACACAGGTAGTATGTTCAGGGCACTTGTTTTAAGAGCATAAATCTATGTTTCTTTTCTACACCATAGTTATAAAGAGCTTTAAAAAATTTGCCCTAAATCCATACATTATAAAACTTGAGTTAGTATGCACACCGTGTAACAGGGATATATTGTTCCAGTATGTAATCAATAAAATTATTTTATCTTTTATTTCTAAAGTTAGAAATGAATAAAGTTTATTAAGATTTGTAATTGTTTAAATGAGCTTTTATATTCATTGTGGAATATAAAAATTAAACTTGGCTGAATGTAGATGTTATTTTGAAGCATATGACAAACATATTATTTTAATAGAATTCAGAGTAGGTTTCATAAATTTGCAGGGCTAATTTCGAAGGTGGTTGTTGTTGTTATTAATGCTCACTTGTCTGACCTATAGTCAGCCCAAGACCACGAAATTCCTCGTGGCAATAAGTGCGCAAGTTTACGCCTGTCGTTGGCAACAGCCTTGAGCATCTTACAGATGACAGTGCGATTTAGCTCAGTTCCGTCAAAAGGTTAATTTTAAACTTCGAAATTAGTTCTACAAATTTACGAAACTTATGCTGATTCTTGTCGCTTTATTCTTAGGCGTATTTATCTTGTTTAATAGAAAATTTTTAATCTTCGTATTATCTTGTTTAACACTTTTTTTTTTTTTTTTTAATTCTTAGGCGTGTTATCTGTATTTTCGTGCGGGTTGGAGAAGCACCAATGATTTAAATTTTAAAAAATAAAGATTTAATTTTAAAGCACTATTATTCTACGCCTTTAAACTTAATTTAAACAAAGACACCCACCAAGTCATAACAACAATGTTAAAGATAAGCAGTACAGTTGAGTTTCACCAGTACCGAGGTGTAACCCCTCGGTACTACCTGCGTGTAGTTCAGAGAATACTGCAAACTGAGAGTGCTTTTTCTCTTAAAGCTAGATTTCAGTCTATTTTAATTTATTTAATATATATGTCCTAATGCAGTATAGGAAATAACAGAAGTGCGGGGAAAGATTTAACGTAAGAAGTAATGCGATTATTAAGGCAAGCTATACAAATTTAAGATTTTTTTTTTTTTTTTTTTTTTTTTTTTTTTCTGTAGTTAAAATAAAAATAAATTTTTAGGAATTTTTACAAATAATTTTGCATTAAAACGTATTTCGTGCTACGAATTCTGCTTAATTAATTTTTACCACACTTCAAAAATTTAGTAATTAAAACTACCTAAAATTCGAAAAAAAAGCTGTGTAATATACATATGAAAGAATTAAATTCTTTAGAAATGCATCTCGGAAGGCTCATACAGAGATGAATGTTAAGGCATATTATAAAATGAATTCTACTGAAAAGATTAAATTTAAAAGTAAGCACCATCTTCATCGATTTCCTCCTCTAAATCGGGCAACCCTTGGAATTCTAGCTGTCCAACTGGTTCTGGAATATTTTCAGAAATTATCTGCTTCAGTGTCAACAGAGAACTGAAATATAAATACACGGTCTTAAAAATTCTAATAAATTATTCAATTATTTTACACTAAAATGATGCTGTATTAAACATTTATGAAAAGTTTCAAAAAAATTGATGCTTTCTCTTAATAAACATTCGTCAAACTTGAAGATATAGTTATATGAAATTAACAGGTAACATCAGTTCATGAAAGAGTTTATAAGATATTTCTCCCGCCTTCTTCGCGTGCCTTCGTGGTGTGGTGGTCTGCACGCTGGGCGCATATTCCAGAGGTCCGTGGTTCGATTCCCGGCGAAGGCGTTGCATATTTTTCATCACTCCTGCTTTAAAATAAATAAATTAATGTCTCTGAAAGTTAATGACATGATTTAAATCTAATTTTAAAAGAATTGGCTTTGTCATCTTGCCCTTGAAGCTTTTACAGCCTTTTTTTTATTATTTTTAATGTTTTTTCTCAAAAGTTTTATTTAAATACTTTGAGGAAATCATTAAAAATAATTAAGGTCTGATATTCTTTTTTCTCCCATAAAAACAACTGTAAAATTTCGTTTTTTTCTCATATTTTCATTCTAAAAATAAAAATTTTTCTTCAGTGACCTAAAACGTTGCTAATTCAGCGTTCATTGGGGAATAGACCGAACACTTCAGTCGTAGAATGGGGTAAATCCAACGCTAATTTTGATGATGAACATCGACCTAGTTGATTATCGACCCTAGGACTTGAGGAGTCTGTCGATGTATTTGTCATCTTGTCAAATGCCATCTGCTATAGGCTAGACCTATCCGTGGGTAGGACCAGAAGATCAGATAGCATTTAAATATTCTACAAAAAATTGCAAAGCCATACATACATTTTTACAGTTTTACATAAATAATTTTGCATATAATATTGCATATTTTCGACCCTGGAGTTATATTATAGTTGTTTTTATGACGCAATTTAACACAGCAATTATATTTTTTATTTGTTTTGGACATTACTTATGATTCACATTACTAAACACTCTGGAGCAGAATGAAATCTAGAGTCTCCCATTCTTCTTCTTCTATCACAACCTCGAGAGGTTTTTCAGTTCAACAGTATTTTAGGTGCCCCATGCCATAAAGCCCCGTACGCTCATAAATATCTATGCCTTTTCCGAAACTCTAAACCGGGCCCAAGCCAGCTGTCCTATCACCATAGCAGTATGATGGTCCCTATTACTTCTAAAAATGACCAAATTTTAATAGTAAAATCCTTTCTTGGACTCGAAGCTACGCCCTTTTGGTATGGTTAAATAAAACTGAAACTGTACTTCTCAGAACTTGGATAATTATCTTATGAAAGTGAACATGAAATATTGTAAGGTATCTTATGTTAATTAACCAGTTATTATGATTTAACTATAACTTCTCATTACCATATTCCTCACCATAATGTAAATTAGATTTGTGTATTTAAGCTGAGGGTTTTGAATCATAAGATTAGAGCTTCTGATAACCCCGCATCTTGCCATTCGGGCCAGCTCTGCTTAAAAGTTACATTCTGGCTTTACATCTCACTAGCTGATGTTTTTAAAATAAGCGTCGGTAAGATATCTGAGCCAGCTTTCATTTTTAGTCTTAGTGTTTATATGCAGTGTTAGGCTACGCTATCAACGTTTGTATTTAATTGTTTGTTAATGTTTGTTAAATAACCCAAAAGTAGTAAAAGTTTTGCCGGTAATACAAGCTGTGCCTATCCTGTAATATTAATGTTTAGGTGAAAAGGTTATTTTAGCCTTCTTTAGTATTTTCTGAGCTCTTTCAGACGTAGCGATAACTCACTCTTTATCTAGTAGGGTCTGCAGGACGTTAACTCTAGCTTCCTATTACAGATAAACCCTACAACACGCTTCGTGTGTAGAGTTCCTCACTTTGTAAATGCTAATTTACAGTCGAACGTGAAGAATCTTAAGAACTGCTAAGCGAATAATCGCTTAAGTTCGTGTGTCAAGAAACAACAAGATGGAAGGGTAACTAACCCTTTATTATTCAAATAAGATTTAACAGAACTCCGTCTTGGAGTGTACAATAAAAGCCGACACTTGGGCTTGAACTTAAGAGGCTAAGAAATAAACTAAAACTAATCTAAAATAAAGAGATATAGCCGAAGCTATCCAGATTCTAACCGAGTTGGCCCCTTAAAGTTAATTGACTGCGAAGCTATCAAGGGCCTGAGTACGGCCGAGCGTAATAACAGCTTTGCGAGAGAGAGCCAAAAAGGCAGACGCGCGCTAATCAGAAACTCTGATGCTCTCTAACTCAGCAAGTAGAACTTCGCGGTTACATACCGCTGTTCCTCATTATGTATTCAGAATGATTCTAAAACTACGTTCTGGCCGGAAGTAGTGAGTTGAAGTTAAGAACCGACAGGAAAGGAACTTTAACTCAAAATTTAACTGTTAATAAAATTAACATACTTCTTACACGTGAAAGGATCAATCGTTGAAGACAATTGAGGACAACCAAAAGATTAAGTTCCCTGTTCAAATTAGAATAGTTTAGTTTCATATGTGAAAGTGTTTTTTTTTTTTTTTTTTTTTAATTACGTTCTCCGCCTCTATGCGCTACACGGAAAGGAGGGATGCCCCTTGGAGGTCAATGCAGGCAGTCCGTATGCCGGGACTCGAACCCCGGACAGAACTACTAGTACTCAGCTGCTTTTGTCGCTCGGCTTCTGGTGGGCCATGTGGAAATGTTTAAGACAGAATTAAAATTAGCAGAATTTAAGAATCGTAAGGGCTTGATTACTATGCTAGACTAATAATACCTGCAAAGAGATAAATTTTCTTGTGAAAAAGTATTGAAAATCATGGAAGAATTCTAATGAATTTCAATTTTGCTTTCTTTGTATTTGCCCTCAAAACTTTCAAAACAGTTCTACTTCGCTATTTCCTCTTAAAAGGGTTTTATTTACCACGCGTTAAGATAACTTTGGAGGTGAAGAAAGAGAGATATTACATTTACAGATGATCTTATCCGTGCATCGCTTATCATTCGGCGCAATGTTGTATGCAGTCGTAACTCATAGTTACTTGCTCCGAATTGTCAAACACATATTTAACATAATGAATATACTTCCATTAACTTTACTTACAGAGAAAAATGAACCGAATGTCAGCTTACCTTACAAGAACTAGCATTTTCTGGTCGTACAAGTGTGCCAGATGAGATTCGTATGTCTTGACACTGTCGATTTCCACGATTCCGTCCGGTTTTGTTACCAGATTGTGCTGTTGCGTGAAGCTCAGTCTGATGGGTGAGTGCTGGTGCAAAATAATGCAATGAAATTTGCATGAAAAAATTAGAAAGAAATTAACAAAATGCAATACATTAAGGAAAACGCAGATGAATAATTACCTGTGATTAAAATAAATACAATCCAGAATGAATTGGAATCACAATTTAAGGATATTTTTAAAACGTTTATCCTAGAAAGAACAATTTGAACTTTCTGTCCCGCTTGGTACGGAAAAAAGTTGCAACGTTTATCATTCGACGGTTTTCTGAATTATCCAGAGACTACACGTTCGACGTTTTCTAAATTGTATTCCGTAGAACACTGGTGTTCCACGAAATATTATGAACTAAAGTTAGAGAACAAGGATGCATGTTTACTTTTAAGTATATAACACAATTTAAAACTAATCTTCGAAGAAATTTAAAGTGAAAGTATTAAACAAAGTAGTTTCATTTCGCCCGCGTAGTAAATTTAGTAATAATTCTAATATCTGGAAAAAGGTAAAACTCTCGACAGTAAGGTGTACAGCGAGATGCTAGTCCGTGTTGATGCTGCTGTCAAGGAAAAACGTCGAACTGAGTCCCGGTTCAAAAAGGTAATGTTCAATCAAGATAATGCAAGACCACATGTGTGTGCATTCACGGACCGGGCCTGTTCGGACTCGAATGGAATTTTTTGCCACACCCACCATATAGCCCCGACATCGCTCCTTCGAACTTCTACTTTCTTTTTACACCTGGAGCTACTTCCTGCCGGTACTGTCTTCCATTCTGCACAGGACGTCCGAATTGAGGATGATCTGTTTTTGGACTCGCGGCCACTAAGTTTCTGGGACGAAGGCTTTGTAAAACTACTAAAACATTGGCAGAAAACCGTAGATTTGGGGGGTAGTTACTACCCGCACTAAAATTTCTACTTTCACTTTTTTTTCCTAACTTTATTAAGAACGTTTATTGTCGGAAAACTTTCGTTACAACCAGATACTTTCTTCTTTATTTATATATTTAATGCGTTTACAGTTACGTATAACACGCTTAAGAATGTTATTATTATCATTAAATAATCGGTTGCTGATTTTAAATTACAGCTATGTGTGTTTATAAAATGCAGAAATACCTTGCAAGGGTATTCAGTGTTTGGGTATGTAGTTCCGAGTATTTAGCTCTGCCAATATCTCGAAATGTTTGAAAATTGACCAACCGAAAAAATTAAATCGAAGAACTAAAAGCATGCAGAAAATGAAATTGGCCCCCTTCCCCCTCATATTTTCCCCCTATTTCTCGAAAATCAAAAATCAATCAATAGCCTCCTTCATTAGAACTTCTCTAAAAAAAAAAGAAATATCTATTTTAGCGCATTTTTCGATCGATGTTTCACTGATGTTATTGATTCCATCCATGAAATATCAATGTTAACTATTTCTCTTTGTAGCGAGGAATTGCGTTGTTCGTTCGTTATCGTATAAGTTATTTTCTCCTTCCTTTCTGCAACCTTTCCTGGTGTTACGGTAGCATACTCGGGGCGTGTTCGAAAAATCCAGGTTCGGGTAACGGCGAGGGCATTTCTCATTTTTCGTGCTTCCTACTTCAAAAATCCTAATGACTCTACAATCACTCAGAGAATTCTAAGGTTGTGTTCAATAACAGGATCACATACCGTAATATGAACTAACAAGGATTTGAATCATTCGAATAAATTTTATGTTTGTTCAATTGATAATTCTCCTACAGGATGAAGAACGAACCATCCGAGCATAGTGACATATGCATACAATAGGGAACCTCAGAAAAAAATTCAAATATGTACTATATCGTAAATCGCATAATATTATAACTCATAAAAAGAGACTAATTTATATATAGAAAAAAAGGTGATCATCATATGTATAAAAATTTTAATATTAAGTTTTTTGTAATTTATATTTATTTTCTTTCTAATCAAAATTATGTATATTATGAACTTTTCAAATGGGATTACAGCGAATTTGAACTGCTCAAAGGCGGACTATGCAAGATATTTCTGCAGTTAGATTTATAATTTATGAAGTATGTTTCTAGATTTAAAAGACATACATAAAGAGTTTGAAATTGCCAAAATTCTACAAACTACGATTCGAGAAATTAGCATTTCTTAATACTATTCCATATCCTAATTGTTTAAGAAATGAAACTGAGTTATAATAGAATTTTTTATCAATATTATAAGAAATATTATAAGAAATGTTTTCTCTTAAAACATGGATGTGATATTAACATCATTAACAGAGACTAAATACATTTTTCTTTTCCTATTAATTAATTTCTATTTTACTGATAGCAAAATTTACAGAGTTATTTATTAACTTCATTTTGAGTTGTTTAAGCCACTTTGAAAAAAGTCTCAATTAAAAATCTATTATGATAAAGCTGAAAGATTTTATTGAAGAAAAAATTCACAGAGTATCGTGTGCAATATTTTAATAAAAAATAATTCAAATAAAACTTAAAGAATAATTTTTGTAATGAAACAGAAACAAAATATTACCAGCTGAGAATTGATGGGACGAACATTATCATCTTCTTCACTATCCTTTTGTGGAATGTCTTCAGGACGTTCGTTTTTGTTAAAGTTATCATGCTGAAGATAGGCTATGTATGAAATATTTTCGTATTCGTCATACCTGGTGACATTGTAAACGTTGCGTTCCTTGGGGAACTCAGGGAATGGGCTTTCAGTGATTATGTACTGGGAAACATAGTTACCGACAGGAGATTTCTGGAAAAAAATTATATTTTTATATTAGGATAAAGGCCTTTCTCTAGGTATATACGCATTTCTTTTCTAAATCCCTTATACTGGAAAACGCAAATGTGTGTGCCGTGGAAGCAGTCAGACAATCAGTGTTCCTGTTTACACAATGTTGGTGCTGTCATACTTTTTTATATAACGCTGGCATTGTCCTCCGCATTTTGGTTAAGATGATTCAGAAAGGAGAAGAGAAAAAAATGGCGATGAAAGAAGTAGTTCGAAAAGAAAAAATGTGTGGCTTGGTTGTGTAGCTGCAGCTGCCGGTATTTCAAAAGCAATAATTTCGCACTTTTTTATTAATCAACTAACTCAGCGATCTGAAAGAGAAGTGTTGCCACTAACTGATTTAAAATACTCTTCTCTTTCACTCAGCAGTGTGTTGTCTTTCAACAAAGCGCAAGATTGTTGAATGGTTGTGAAATTCAATTCCTCATTCAGATTTATTCTGTTATTAATTAACAAACTAAGCAATAAAAGTAATAAAAGCAGATTCATTTTAATCCTATTAATTACTACTGCAACTATGAACTTACATTAACTTGATTCATCAAATGCATTATATATATATATTTTCATTCTTATGATAACTTTTAAACTCTTGGTCGCGCAAGCGGGTAGTATAAAACTAAGTGTTGTATAATGAGGAACTTACCCTAGTCACATTATATCTAATTGGTCCCTGTTGCTCTTCTCTTGATTCGGGAAGTTCGTCAAGATCTAGTTCAAGCTGACGGAGGACCGACCTTTTGATTTTCTGAGACAGCAAGCTTTCGTTAGGATCCAGTGTATAGCTTTCAACCTGAGTGTTTCAAATAATCCAAATGTATAAATTGCTATAAATATTTCATATCAATTAAAAAATTTTAAGTATTTAACGTTTAAACTATACTTTCAGAATATTCTGCTTAATTTAAACCGCTGTTTTCTTTTCTTACAGAGAATGAAAAAAATAATTCCAATTCCATTTCTCAGTTGAAGTGCAGCATCTGAACAGGTAAGCATTCTTCGAAGATAACTAATCGTTAGAAGAATAACAATCACGGGTCAGAACAAATTAAATAAAAAAATATTTATTCGTAAACTCAGAAATTTAATTTCTACAAAAAGGTCAACTTTCTAACTTTAAAATAAAGCATCTGTTACTGAAATTGTAATTTTTCTGGTCTTGTGTCTTCAGATCGCAGAGGAGATTTAAGTTGTAGTTCAGTTTTGCTGAACTTTTAAGTTTATTATGGTGTAAAGTATATTTTGATTATTTTTATTTCAGTATACTTTAGTATCGATTCTTGTTTCAACTTACAACTCTACCAGAATGAGTTTTCAGAATCGCATTGAATGCGAATGAGTTAGAAGTAATATTTAAGGAAGATTCAAATTACCTCGTGTGTGTGAGAGAGAGAGATAGTAATCCTGTGTAGCACACGTTTGCCTTCGGGCTAAATCTTCCTAGAAGCTGTTACGCCCCCGCCGTATATTACCTGCTTTTTGATATTCGCCGGCTAGTTTAGATTTAGGGCCAACAACATCAGATACTTGTGGTAGCTTTGACTAAATCTCTTTTAATTAGTTCTTATTTCTTATTTTGAGTTCAATCCCGAATAGAGGCTTTGTGTAAGCTCGAGTAAGGGGCCAACTGTTCACCTTATCTTGACTGAAATAAAGGGTAATTAACCCGTCTTGAGTCTACGACTTCTGTTATTTGAACTCAGCGATAAGTCGTTAACAAGTTCATTAGGTTTCTCGGCATTTACATTAGACAAAGAGAGTGAGGAAGTCTATAGTATGGTACAATAATATTTTGTTTATTTTTTCCGTCTATTATAATCCTCCATATCTATCCGTCTATGTGAGCTATGGTGTGAACTTTTGATGGGGCTAAGAAAGGCAAAACGCTCTTGTAGGTCGAAGTTAATTTTTAGATGGATTAGCTATAATGTGATTAAAATCCTAGAGTAGAAAAACGTTCAACTCTTTATTTGCAAGTTATTTTTATATTATTATATTATATTACATTGTTATATTAAAAATTATGTTGTTATTCTCCTCAAAAGTTAGCGAAAGCTTTGTTTTTGTTAATTTCAGTTCTTGTACCCGTTAAGTTGATGTGTTAATAAATATTTTACTTTAGACTTTATTTTGCTGTGATACCTCTAGCTAGGAAGTCGGCTGGAACGCAAATTCACGCGAGAATTTCTTGCTGTTATTTTGATTAGTAGGAACTTTATATTTAATAACGTAATCATATATGCTAATAAGCCAACAGCAAGTTAGTAAATTAGATAGCAGTAAGTCAGTAAACTAAACCTACTAGTTAGTTGGAAATTAGTAAGTTTCTATGTTTCTCATTCCTTTTGCAAACGATAGAACAGAGGTTCACCGAAGGCATAGCATACGTATCTCCTCTTCTAGCCAAGGTTTCTATGTTACAAGGTTATTCTTGTAGCATTGTGTTAAAGGCTTGTTCTTGTGTGACGTCACTGACGCCTAGTCTGCTTAAAAGCAACTACTCTAAATCTTCTTTTCTCCCGTTTCTGTAAGTAAATGACGTTAACGTTAGGAAGAGCATAATCTTGTTTGTCTGCTGACCTTGCTTTTATTTAGATAGGACTTTAGGGTTCTCGGAACAAGATTCTCTGTCTGTGCCTCTTAGGCCGTTCCCTACTTGTGCTCGTAGGCAGCTAGCCGTCTCCGTGGTAGAAAATTAAAACTACAAAATGTTTATTCGTACACTCGAGTAGCGGCTTCACCCACTACAATTGTTTTCCTTATACATCAGTTACCCCCCGCCCCGGTGGTCGACGTAGAAAACTCTGCGAAGCTACTGGCTACGATCTGTAACTAGGAAGTCTCGGCCACGGGGGTATAAAATGTAAGAAATTGGTGGTTCTGAAGGCCCCGGAAAGGTCACTCATTGTCAGACCCAATGGTCTGGCACTTCCTAGCGCGGCGTGGTTCTAGTAGCCCGGGGGTAGCGTCCCCGGGTACGCTGGGTAATGTCTCGCTGCGACGGGCAGCCCGAGCGACTGGTAGGTAACAAATTAACGACCAGTGCCACCTGGGAAACTAGTCCCGGGTGATGCGTCTCCCTCTCTGTGCGGAGGTTGAACCTCCGTGCCTGGTTCTGAGGAGTGGGGGGACCTGTAGTACGAACCATTTAGGGTCACGTGGAGCAGTGCTTGCCAATAAGTTATCTTATACATCAGTTAGAAAAATTCTGTTTCTCTCGGAGCTAAGCTCCGCAGTTTCCTGTGAATTTAGGAAACTTTGGAAAACGATTGGCTGTTTTGTCATTAATAAGGATGTCTTTTAAGGACTGTCACTTTTAAGGATGTCTGTTCTGATGTTTTATGAGGCTGGGGAAATTCCTCAAGAATCCGAGTAACGCAAATGGGCTTGTGGTTCACAAACAGCCACAGAATGCGATGGCATTCGTCTATAGTTACGCAACAATAAATGCTTCAGTTTCGTGTGTTTAAACTTGTCACAGATTTAAAAGTTGTGATAGGATAGGAAACTTCTTGTTTCCCCATCCCCTAGAACTATAGCCCTGTTTTCGAAATCGTTCAAAAGCGAAGGATAGGGCATCTGAATGTCGGTAACAGACACATATATACAAAAACTGCAAAACTGAGAAATAGATGACCACATAAGAATAGCAGAGATAGCTGGAACCAGGAGTATTAAACACTGAAATTAACACTCGGATCTTATCTTTACTTCTGTCTTCAACTACTAACAGTATAGTTCTAACCAGTAATTAATTATACCAGAGACCATTAAAATATTATGTACCAGAGACCATTAAATACCAGAGACCATTAAAATATTATACCAGAGACCTAGATTATACCAGAGACCAGAGATACCAGATACCAGAGACCATTAAAATTATACCAGAGACCATTAAACCATATACCAGAGACCTAGATTATACCAGAGACCAGAGATACCAAATACCAGAGACCATTAAAATTATACCAGAGACCATTAAACCATATACCAGAGACCATTAAAATATTATGTAAAACTAGAGGTGTATGTTTCAAAAATACACCACGCCCGAAGGCGAAGATCATAAGCATGAGTAAACTTGTAAGGATCCTAAGTTTTACTAACGTTTATTTTATTTTAAAACTGTACTATCACTTCTTATTTTCTACTTCCGGTAGATTAAATGCTTTAACCGTTATTGCAATTCCTTGCTACGCCAATACTTAAGTTGTGCTTTTTGCCAAGAGGAAGAGGAAGGTTTAGGAACAAGACGCTGCCACTGCAGTTTTACGAATTTTCACTCCGTTGCTGGTGCCTTTAAGGCCAGGGGTTTAGCCCTCTTGATATTTGGGCAACGTGGTATTTCGGCAGCTCGCGACTACAACGTACCCTTTTTAATTAAGAGCCAGTTTATGGCTAGGCTTTGTATACTAATTCAAAGTTAGCTTTTATTAAATTTTAGTTATAGTTTTTATTCTTACGTTCAGACCACAAGTAGGTGCCTCTTATTCCGAAGTTCGGAAGCCTGAAAGTATTGAAATAGAGGGTTTCGTATCCCTTCCTGCTTGTGTCGTCTGTTATACACAAATCTTGAACAGAGCTTGAGTAAGCTCCCTGTTCTTATTCAGGGCATTCCATGTTTCCAAAGCAAATCAAGAGAAACACAAGTCCTGACAAATTCAGTAAATAAGTTAACAGTCGCGCTTACGTATTTAAACAAATGTGTTTTAAGGTTCTGCAAGTAGTGGTAGCTAAACTTTATCAAATTTTAGCTGTACTACAAGATGCAAGTTTAGATAAATCCTCAATTAAATTTTACCTGCTGTCGGTTTTCTTGGAATTCCAGACGTCTAGTTAAATATGAAGATCAGAAGTTGTCAGAAGCATCTAAATATTAAGCAGTTAAATAACTTTATTTTTAACTAACTTTTGTCTTAGATACTTTTGCTTCACAAGTAAAATTTGTACTCTCTAAATCAATATTTTTTTACTAAGAATAACAATTTGCAAATTAATTATAGATTGATTTCTGTTCTTTGCATTTCATACTGAAACCAATATATATAATAAAGTTAATGAAAAGAAAGAAAAATCGTATCTTACTTTTCCCTTTCCCAAAATGACCTTGATAGGTATACTCAACAAATGCTCGAGACGTCTGTCTGACTTCAGTACAATGGGTTCAGAGTCACTTGCGATGGCAACAGCGTCAGCAAACGAATATTTTTCAATCTATGGAAAACAAAAGAATACTCTGTATACTATTCGTAAAGCCAAAATATAGTCATAACATATTCAACGATTTCAAAGCGAGCAATGGCAACACTGTATGAAAAAAATAAACATTTTTATCTCCAGCGCGCGAGACTGAGTATCGGAAATTCTAAATATATCCTTTTTTAAATGACTTTGTGATATTACTGTTGAATTGAATTATATGGTTTAAGTGCGAAGAACATGACATTTAATAAATAAAAGTAACACACAAAACGTTAAAAAAAAAAAAAAAAAAAAAAAAAAAAAAAAAAAACTTTTAGGGTAATATAAAATCTGAAAAACCTTCCGATTTTTTAAAATTTTAAATTCTGCAAAATTTAATTAGCATAGTGTTTTTTTACTCAAATTAAAACCTGAAGCTTAATGTAATGTATTCATCACTAATAGGTACAAATTAAAAGGCTATGAGAGAGCGCCGAAAAAACTCACCGAAAGAACGAGAACCTTTTCACTTTCGGCAAAGATTTTGACATCCATTTTGTGGGCTACTTTGGACACTTGAGGGCTCAACCCTAATACTCCAGCCGTTGCATTGAGCCATAGCTCGTATACGTGCGTAAAACCTACCTGGAAACCTGTAAAAGTCATCATTTCAAATTACTTTTTGTTACCTATTTTTGTTTAATTTTTATAGGTATAGAAACATATTTTATAAGCTAAGTTTTTTCATAACATTTTAAACTTTTATGCATTATTCTTTTCAGCTACTGAAACGGTTGATTTCTATCTGTAGCACTGTACAGATGTTAATCGTTTTATTATAGAAATTTATATCACAGAACAGAATCATATAGAAATTTATACCTGATAAATTATACAGAATTGTTTATAAATATACACAAATTTATATCTGATGAATTGAATACAGAAATATGTATCTGATAGATACAGAAATATATATCTGATATATGTATATTTCTGTGTATACAGAAATTTATATCTGATAAGTTTCTGTTGCATTATGTACAATGCTACAGAATGATTCGTATTACTGCAATTCGTGATTTTATATTAGGAAATGAAAGTGTAACATTTATTAAAATCATAATGCGTTTTATAAATGCAATTTTGAGAGACACATCATCTGGTGTAAAAATAAATGTTCGCAGTATTATAATAAATTACATGTTTTATCCTGGAGATGTGTAGACTCTTTCAATGTTCGACTTTATCTCGTTTCTAAAATTTTTTATGGTTTTCGTGTAACTTGGTATAGTATTTCTTTACCTGTATCGAAAAACACGATATCCAGTTGCTTTGAGTATTTTGGTTACAGCCGAAAACATCGCGGACGAAAACGCGGGGGAGAAAACACGCGCAAGAAAAACCATCGGAGAAACATCGCAGTTCTAAAACACGGGTACAAAACATCGTCGTCGAAATAAAGCGGTTCAAATCTTCGCAGTTTAAAAACATGCCTCGAAATATCGTGGTAAAAAAAAGTTCACAATCATCGCATACGATAACATCGCAGACATGCTTTTTTTCAGGATTTATAACTGTAAATGATATTCCCATAATGATTGTGAGCGCAAGTGAGTAAGGAAGGATAATTTTACTTTCACATTTTTTTATTACTACTAAATTTTTCTGAAAAAATAAGAAGGAAACTTAAGCATAGAAATTAAATGCAACTTAATAGATTAAATTTTTTGAAAAATTACCTGTAAATCTTTATAAAATTATTTATTAATGGTCTTTGTTAGTTACTATGTCGATTTAAAATCTATTATGCTATACGTTGCATAATTTTCTATGCTTAAGGTTTCTTCTTATTTTCTCAGCAAAAATTTAATATTTAATAAAAAAATGAAAGTAAAATTATCCTTTTTTCATCTTGCACTCACAATCTTGGGAATATCCCTTTACAGTTATTAAAGCCTGAAAAAGCATTCTGCGATGTTATCGTCATGCGATGATTTGTAATACTTATTTTTTACCAGATATTTTTCGACGGCGATATTTTTAACTGCGCGTTTTGAACCGCTTATTTTCGACGACGATGTTTTGTACCACATATTGTAAACTGCGATTTTTCTCCCCCGGAGTTTTTGTACACTACGTTTTCGCCTTGCGTTGTTTTCTCCGCGACGTTTTCGTCCGCGATGTTTTTGCCGCGATGTTATCGGCGGACACCGAGTATTTTGTATGAGAAAGTGGTCGCAACTTCAAGTTTCATTTTTTTAAAGTGAGGTGAGCTTATTTTTAAAATTGGAAGCTAAATAATGGAACGGATAGCGATTATTATTTACATTTCCATTACTTGTAAAAGATCCTTGCACAGCTTCTTAAATTATACACATTTTTGTTGCATTTTATTTAAAATTATTTCCTCAAATTTCATAAAAGGTATATTTCTGATTCAATCAATTCAGTTCTCACTTCACGGCAAGGTATAAATGCATAAAACCTCAATCTTCATTAAAAATTGTAAAATACAGAGAAACTTAAAGCACCAAACGCAGTTAAAATACCTAAGAAAGCAATTTTTGCAGTTAAAATTAGAGTTTTTACACAAAAACAAGCAATTCGACCCGCGGGCAGAAAAACAAAAATTTTGGTGCACAAAATTGAAAATGAATTTTTGGTCAAAGACATCGAAGTTGGTGCATCAACTGCTTTAATCCGCTATTCTACTAAGAATTTCAAATGCAAACAAATGGAAACTTTTTTAGGCTTAACGCCACTTAAACGTTTAAGTTGTTGATAATTCTACAAGTATTGCATGCAGATTACTTAAAGGCATAACAGCCTTACCCGCAACATACGAATAAAATAATTCAGTCATTTTGAAAGCAAAAAATGCACAATTTACTAACATATAAGCATAAAAAAAAACTGAGCTCACTCAGCCGGGTAACAGAATAGCAGTGTATATATATATAGGTAAAGGTAAAGGTAAAAGTAAGGGGGACACCAGCGATGTACCATAGGTCAACTGGTAATGCCTTCCCATACTAACCTGGAGAGAAAAAAAAAAAAAGGGGGGCGAATTGCAAGTTTCTCGAATTTGCAAGACGAACTTTTCCAAGGTCTACTTTGCCTCGTAGGTACATCGTGCAATCCCAGACCCCGCTCAGTATTTAGGAAATAATGGTGTAGGGCATAAGTAGATTACAAAATAGTAGGAATACATATATATATATATATATGTTTGGTGCTGCCGATTGCAACGAAAAAGGGTTGTGCACAACTACATGTTATAACAGTCCCTTATACAAAACTTCAGTGTTCTTTTGGTACTCGTTTTGGAGTTATGCGAGATACATACATACGTACAGACGTCACGAAAAAATTCTCTTCTGAATTCATTTTAAATCAGTTTTACAATCCGTTTTGGAAAAAAAGAGTCCTTTATTCTTTCCGTATGTACAGATTTCACGCAGGAGCTTCGTTCAAATGTATTGCAGAGAGGCCAAAATGGATATTTTCATTGAAATATGATACCCGAAAATTTTCGCAATTACAATACTTATTTTACTTCGTACAAGGAAGTAAAAAGATAGAACAAATTTTTTTATTTTTATGTTAGTCATCTTAAAATATTCTAAATTTTGCTGTTTTTATTTTATTTTTAATTTTATATATATGTTTTTTTATTCCAAATTTCCATTTATTGGTCTTGATTTTATCTATTTTTCACTTGAGTCAACCAAAAATGCATATGATGAAATAATATAAAAATGAGTGGATAAGTTATATAAGAAATCATTGAAGAACTTTCATTATTTTATGGGGGTTTAGGGTTACCTGTGTGTTTTCTTTTTCTTACATTTCTTCTTTTCTTATGTACGAAATTTTTCCTTTTATCTTAAAAAATTTCAAATAAAATTTTAATTCCGTCCTGAATATCTTAAACCCCAAATCAGTGTATCAGAGCAAATGCGTCATAATTTTTTAATATCTTCTGTTGATGTAATTGTATTGGGAGAATAATTAAGAGATTGATACCTCTTAGCAAGATAACATATAGGACCTCGGTTCCACAAGAGAATTCTCGATCAGCTCTGAACTAGAATTAGGTAGATAACCCTAATATGTTTTGCCTTATTTAAAATTATTAGAGCTAAGTTTATCTTTGTTCAAGAGCGAAATGCAATCTTTTAAAATTACTCGAATTCAGATTAAAGTATTTAAACCTAGTACTTACTTGGGTAGTTTATTACATGCTCTGGATTATGGAATGCTTCTGAAAGAGAAAGAAAGATTCATATTAGTTTTCATACTCAGATATTTGCTCATAAATATATTAAGAAAAGCATCCAGAATTGTTAGTTTATAAAGATTTATATTCCTTAATTAGTTATCAATAGTTTCTGATAATTGCATTTAAGTTATTTCATTTTTGTTTAATAGATATGCATTTATTAAGTTAAATCAAATGATATCAGTTCAGGGATATGTTTTGATTGGAGTTGAAAGTGAAAGAACATTACGTAATTAGTCTTATTAGCAGTTTCGGTCTGCCAAAATTAAAATTCGATTAAATGTTCGCAGAATCTTAAAATGAGTTCTATCCGTCACCTATACAATAGCAACCTATTGATGCGATTTTCATTTCTTCTTGATTGTTTGGACTTTTAATTCTTATTACCTGGATGAAATTTTAGCAGTTAAAATCGAAGATTATCATTAACTTATAGTAGCGTTTTGGAAATTTTGCCTCTCATTTGACCATTTTGTTGACCATTCATAACTCAAAGACATAAACGATATCTGAAACCTATTTTTGGCAGCTGTTTGTGCACACACTAGCCAATGAATTAGAAACCTAAGATCAATATTTTATTGGACCAACTTTTGCACGGATAAGTGTTATGATTCGTTTGGGCATCGAGTCTTTTGCATCCAGAATACCATGCATTGGCTATGCAGACTTTTAGATCTTGTAAATTAGATGGAAGAGGAGAGCGCTGTTGGATGGGTCTTTTTTGGCACGATGTGTATAGTTGCATATCGTCGATGAAGTATCCGTCGCTATCATGATAAAAATGCAACATTGCAGGGTGCACTTGATCTGCCCGTATATCTCGGTATCTCATGGCTGTTTGTTTACCCTCGAAGGGCACTAGAGCACCACTTCTATGTCAGCAGAACATGCCCTACCTCATGATACTATAAGGTATATCTCCCGCCTTCCTAGCGTGCCTTCGTGGTGTAGTGGTCTGCACGCTGGGCCGGTATTCCAGAGGTCCGTGGTTCGATTCCCGGCGAAGGCGATTGTTCATTTTTCCTCTTGTACGCTTCCAAAAATATCTACTGCCTCTATAGTGGCGCCTGAACTAAAAGGGTGTTGGATGAGGTTTCTTCCACACCCAGGATTTGGTGATTGGTTCCCCTGAAAACCCCATTCGCCCTTTTAAATGAGGAGTATATAAGGTATTTCTCCAAAGGGAGAGGCCTTCCTAGCGTGTCTGCGGTTTAGTGGTTCTGCAGCGCTGGACCCGGTATTCCAGAGGTCTCTTGGTTTCCTTCCTGCGAAGGCGTTACGACTTTTCATCTCTCTTGCTTCCAAAAACATACCTAATGTCTCTACAATACTTCCATCAGATCCTTGCACAGTGCAAGTAAGGCAAGATGGATTACTGTCTTCATGGGGTCTTGCAAATTCGACGTCTTTCATCAGTGCAAAATAAGGTGTAGTATGATTCATCTAACCCCATTACCCATTTTCAATCCTCAGATGTCCAGTGTCTTCCAGTCACCCCTTCAAAGAAATCTTGCATGTCGGCCAGAAATGAACAATTTTCTCACAGGCACCCGACTTTGCATTCCTATCCTCTGAGCATGGTTCGAGCTGAAATCTATTGGAAAGAGCCTCGGTTGACTATCTGTGTCAGTTGAAGCACAATAGAGTACTTGTTCCACTGTACCATTCCTCGGAGACGATGCCGATCACTCTCTTGGAAAACTGTGCTCGAACCGCAGTTACGTTTTCTAGAGAAGGACTGTGGATTCTGATTCCAACTTTTCAAAACCGTTGATATGGCTGCTTTGGAGAAACCAATGAGATTTGCTGTCTTCGAAATCGAGGCTCCTGCTAAACGGGAACCAACAATAAGCCTTTTTTCAAGTAAAAAATCTGTCGTTTTCCCCATTTTACTTAAATTATCGTGAACTACCTTACTTATACTAGCATCCTAACCACGTGCAACTTACGTTATAAAAAAAATTGCATACTTCATTCCTAGCCCGCGTTCAAATGAAAATCTCAAAAGTTTCTAATTCATTGGCCAGTGTGTATATAATCTGTAAATATGTCGTATTAATCACCACAATGGCAAAAGTATCGAAATGTTCAACTAGAACCTTCAATTTTATTTACTTAAAAGCTTTCATTACTTCAAATGAAGTAAAGTGCTTTTTCCCTCCTAAATTAAGCAAACAAGAATTTTCTAATAGTTTTACGGCACCTTTCAAACTGAATTCTTTAATTTTAGCTCTCGCGTTTTAAAATAACGTCATTATGATGAACTGGCAAGCCCCTGATTTCCTAACGAATCGAATAAGCGAGCGTGGCAAACTCGATATGGATTGCATAGAAATGAGAAATGAAGAATAAAAAAAAATAGAGAGTGAGTACAACTTTAAAATGATATTATACATTTTAAGACTTGGTAATAAAATTAAAAGAAATTTAGTAATAAATAATATTAAATAAGAATTAAACGAAAGTGAATCGATTATTTTATTTTGCAATATAACTCAAACTTTGAGGAGTAAAATTAATGAAATAAATCAGCATATAAAAGCAATCAAAAACTTCTCTGTGCACGATGTTTCGGGTAAAAACATTGTTAAACATTAATAATTATTGATCAGCTGTGTACGTCTACACCAAACAACTTTTTTTTTCATTTCTAATGTAAGATAAATTATGCTAGTAAAATAATATTAACAAATAAATAACAATTATATTGCATTCAACTAAGGCAATATATCAATGATACAATTAGTATGTAAGGTGTATATATTTTAGTTTTATAACAGTTATTTTAATTTTAAAGTCACTTTCCTATCAGTTCTTGTTTCCACTTACAATTCCCTACTAGAATGAGTTTTTAGAATCGCTTTGAATGCAAATGTGTTAGAAGTATTCAAGAAAGATTCAATGTACTTCGTGAGAGAGTGAGTTTTAGAATCGCTTTGAATGCAAATGTGTTAGAAGTATTCAAGAAAGATTCAATGTACTTCGTGAGAGAGTGAATTTTTAGAATCGCTTTGAATGCAAATGTGTTAGAAGTATCAAGAAGATTCATGTATGGCTTCGTGAGAGGGAGTTTTTTAGAATCGCTTTGAATGCAAATGTGTTAGAAGTATTCAAGAAAGATTCAATGTATTTCGTGAGAGAGAATTAGCAATCCTGAGTAGCGGGTGTTTGCCTTCGAGCTAAGTCTCTCTTGAAGTTGTTACGCTCTGCCGTATATTACGTGCCTTTTGATATTTGCCGGCTAGTTTAAATTCAGGGCCAACTCCGTTAGATACTTGTGTTAGCTTCGGCTAAATCTCCTTTAGTTAGTAATAGTTTTATTCTTATTTCTTATTCTGAGTTTAAGCCCGAGTAGAGGCTTTGTTGTAAGCCCGAGAAAAGGGGCCAACTGTTCACCTTATTTTGAGTGAAATAAAAGGGTGATTAAAACCCTTCTTGATTCGACATCTTTAGTTATATTGTAAGTATTTCTCTTCTCCCCTTCCCTAGCTTGCCTTCTGGTGTATTGTTAGCACACTGAGCCGATTTCATAGGTCCGTGGTTCGATTCCCGTCGAAGGCCGGTTGCATATTTTTCATCTTTCCTGCTCCCAATTAACCTAATTACTCTACAATATGAACTCAGCGATAGGTCGTTAACGGTTCCCTAGGTTCCTTGGCGTTTACTCTAGACAAAAAAAATGTAAGGAACTCTACGATATGCATTATTTAAAGACTATAACATATTTCTAACTAATTAAATCGTTAGAATATAATATAATGAATATTTATAATAAATTATTCAATATTATTTTTACTAACATTTTAATCAATTAACACAATTACTTTGTATTCAAAATTCTTATATTTAATTTTTAATACTATTAAAACTTTAATAATATCATTTAGAACAAATATAAGTTATTGGTCCCGTTATGACGTTTACAAAAAATTTTTCATAAATATTTATTAAAATTTATAAACGCTTAAATTTATAATAGATATAGAACTTCCCATTTTTGATAATTAAATTAATTTGCGTATAAGAAATTTTGAAGTATAAGCTCAATCTATTCCTTGTACTTCAATAATTACTCTTCATACTCTAATTTGGAGATCACTGTTCTGGAGAAAAGAGTGTTCAACACTGAAAAATATTTCTAGTACTTAACAGGAAACAATTTCAATTTTATCAAACGTAATTCCAGAATCCAGTACTTCTTGAATTAAAAAAGATCAAGAAGGGTGACAAAAAGCCAAATGAGGCTAATTTTATTTACCTCGGATGTTGTCGAATTATGGAATTTTGATAGCGTCCACGCTACACAGATTTTTTTTTTCTCTTTTACCTTTTTAATATAAGAGGAGGTGAAATTAGACTAAAAATGTTTCTTCTTTCTGATTGTTTTAAAATAGATAAAATTAAGCACGTGTGTATGAATTTTAAAATGCAGTTAAATTAAAAATGAAAAAAAAATGAAATTAAGAATGAAAAAAAAATGAAAAACTGTGAAAGGGATTTTAACGATAGCCCAAAAAAGCTCTGGTAAAGTTTAATTTTGTTTAAATGGCTCAGGCTGAATAAAGAAACATTTTATAAGATATTACATGAAGACTAACATTTAAAGTAACATGGAGCTTAATATCTCCATAGGAAAAACTAAAAAAAAAAAATGTACTACATGGATAAAATATTTAATGTTTTTAATTAGGTATATCATGAATTAAATATATTTTTACTTAATTCAATCCGATTAAAAAAGGGAAAATAATATTCTTAAGAATTGCATCTATAGTTTTAAATAATTTAGTTTGTCAAATTATAACATAGAGATTAAATATGAAAGAATAATATCTTACGTTTTATTGAATGGCAACAGACTCGAATTCGAAGTGAAACGACGCAAAATCGTGTTTCGAGATTAAAAGGCCTTTTGGGCTAAGAACTGAAGTACGTTTGTAAGAATCTTACAATACGATTTGCATGTTAATTAAAAAATAAGATGAGTTTTTGTTTACAGTTTACAATATGATTATCAATTTTGTTACAGATTTATAATATAATTTACGAGCAGATTATGAACCGCCAGTCCTCTCAAATAAGTTGATACCTTCCTCAAATTAGATACTGAATGATAATTTTAGCACGAAGCATTTTAGGAATAAGTTTTCAAGTTTCGTTCTCTCAAGTAATTGATTATCAATGTAATCTCGAAAATCATATTAAATCGTAAATGCTGTTTCTAACATCAAAGTGACTGATTATATAACTTGCGTTCATTTCTTTCATGATTTTTACTCTTTTTAAACAATAATGGTAGAGCAAAAAAGGAGAAGAAACATTGATAAACGGTTTTATCAGAATAAGAATAAAAAATAAGATTTTTAGAGGTTAAATTTAAACTTCTGCATGTTTATTGTCTATTTTTTCAATCTTAAAAAAAAAGGCGTATTCCCACTCTTTTTTTTAAGTTATAGTTTAGATTAATTTTTATAATAAATTTGTGTAATGAAATAGTAATAGTATAAGCACATTCTAAATTACCTTCCAATTAAATTTGGGAAAAACACTAATGGTACTTCTATAAAATGTTTGATGTTTTATCACTTAATTAAAGAGAAAAGAACTATCTGAAAAGATCTATCGTTATCTTTGGGATGCGTAAAAGAATTTTTTGCTTGAAACAAAATTTTGTGATTTTTTAATCATTAATTTGTGCTTTTCTCCTATTTTTTCATGATTGGAGATGTATTTTGAATTGAATTTTTAAATCTTTTCTCCTTTTAATTTAAGCTGATCATGTTGAAGAAAAACAGATATTTCGGAATCTATTAATAGCTATTCTTACTCTTTCATAAATCTTCATTATTTTTAGAATATTTGGTACTGATATCTTGTTTATTAGTAACATCATTTAACATTATAACTTAAATAAAAATATTGCATTTAAAGAAAAAGTATTTTTAGTCCCTTGATATTTATTGATGGCGGTAATTATTGACATCCATTTACTCTCAATAAAATTACTACAACATTATTTTATTTACAAATATTAATTTCAATCGCGATGATATGATTTATTTCCTTTAAATTCCTATTTATTATTGAATTTCATTTTAAAGTGAATAAAAGTTAAAAAAAAACAGTAATAATAAATAAATTTTTAAAAAATGCAAGATTTCCGATTTTAAATTACGTCCAAAGTAGCGTTTTTTAACATTTTGTGTGTTACCTTTATATATTAAATGTCATGTTTCACACTAAACATAAAATTCAGTTCAGAGCAGTCGCAAAGTAATTGAAATTGAACTTCTTAGAATTCGAACAATCTCACGCGCCGGAGATAAAAATATTTTTCTGTAAAACGTGCATGGCTCGCTTTGAATCCTTGAGTTGTTAATCAAAGATCTTAACTTTACGAATATGAAGCGATAATAAAACAATTCACCTTTGGCTTCCAAATG